CCCCTTCCCCCAGGGTAAGACGGGCACCAGCGAGCCTGATTTACACCGGTGTCACCGAGCGTTGAATCTAGCCTCTAAAATAACTTTTCCCCTCCAGTGGAAACAAAACACGTCGCTCTCCCGGGCTCGCAAACCCCTGGTTTTTTTCCCTTGCGCCCCGAGCGCTGTCCCCCATCATTAGCAGACGCCTTGCACACGAACTGCGTTACCTATAAAGGCCGCTTCGTCCAAGCAAATGTTCCTCCGTTCTTTCTTTTTTTTTTTTTTGTTTTTTTGTTTGGTTTTTACTTCAATTTGAAGTGAAAGGTACAGTAAAGGAGTCAAATGCCTTTGCATTACGCGGGTTTTTTTCGAGCACTTCAAAACCCCCACGGAAAAATGCCTTCACAAAGCTGAAACGACGGCTGAACCAAAAATGAACCGCTTCGCTGCGTCCCACGCTGCCTAGCCGGACTTCCTTTCGTGTGCGTGGGTTTTTTTTTTTTATTGCTTTACATGGCACTTATCTTTCATTTATTTCATTTTATTCATTCGTTAAAAAAAAAAAAATTCAAATCAAATCATAGCTCCTGTTTCAGCTCTCACTTTGAGTCAGTATTTCTACCCTGCGGATGCGTTTCACAGGAAAGCACGCTGGGAAATTGCCCAAAAAAAGAAAAAAAAAAAGGTAGAAATGTGGAAGAGCTCAAAGAAAGGAGAAAAAAAAAAAAAAAGAAACCCCCAAAAAATAAACGCTGACCGCTGGAGCACAAGTCGGCGTGTCCCAGCTCGTTCCCACAGTGAGGGCCGCCGGCTGCAGGGCTGCAGGCAGGGACGTGCGGACAGGAGGAGTACGAGGGAACTCAGCGACGGAGTCAGAAAGTCAGAGTTGTCGCTGCTCGCTAACTGGCCCGCGCGACGGCATCCGCATGGAATTTCTGACTTTTCTTTGGCTCAAAGATTGAACGTTAAGGCAAAAAGAAGACACAGTGTAGAAGCGCCATCAAATCTTTGGCACGTCAGCAACAACAACAACAACAACAACAAATTACTGTACACATGAGCCGAGAGGGGAGCATTTCCCAGTTAAGCAAAGGGAAAAGTGCTAAATAAATTGCACATACTAAAAGGTGGCTGGCTTAAAAAACAAGAAGAAGCATCCTCGTCCTTTTTTTTCTTTCTTTCTTTCTTTCTTTTTTTCCTCCCGTTCCAGAGATTGGGAAAGTTCCTCGGCCGAGCGTCGTCTCGAAGAGGGGCTTCTGCGAGATAAAAGCCGCCTGCCGCCTTCATCTGCATCACGCAACCTTTGCCAAGACTAGCTGTAACTCGGGCTGGACGCGCGTCTCAAGCCTCCCTTCCTCGTCACTACTCCTGGAAAGAGAAGGGACGCGCCGTCAGGGCAGTACGCGGGCGGCTCGCGGCCTTTCCTGCCCG